CAAATGGATAAGCTGGACTACCTTGGCTCATTGCTCATTGCTGATGAACAAGAAGGAACTAAGGTATTAATTATGCTGAATGAAAGACAAAACTGTCCAGGCATGGCAATATATACCTGTAATCCTAGCATTCAGAGGCTGATGCAGGAGGATTGCAAGTTGGGGACCAGCCTGGGCTGCATAATGAGACCCTGTCTCAAACAAAAGACAAAAACTATAGGGGTGGAAGATAGAGTCATGATTACGAGGGGTTATGGGAAGGCGGCATAGCCTAAGGATGTTTTTTGGGAGTTGATGAAACTGATCTTATCCTGAGTATAGTGAGTGATAGTTACATCAATCTATATACGTGTTCAAAAATCATAGAACCTTATCACAAAAGAAAATTTCACAGTATAATTTTAAAAGCACAAATTATGTAAGCAGTTAAAAAATCAAGTAAGCTATTTCCCATTGTTCGAAGTATTTGGCAGAACATTTTAGCACAAATAACATCAATTCCATGTGGAAGGAAGGCAAGATAGATCTTAGATTGTTAGATTAATCCAGAGTTAGTGAATGTGCTTGTGGCAGCTGTGTTTCTAAAGACGTCTGCAACAGTAGACACCTTCAGACAGCAATTCCCCTGCTGCTCCTTCATCAAGAGGTCTATGCACCTGTCACATGAAGTTGTGACAACTTAAACCAAGAATGTGATGAAAGCTACACTGTGTGATTCCTGAGGCAAAGTCATAAAGATGCTATACACTTCCTCCTTGTTTTCTTGCAACAATTGCTCTTAGAACTCAGCCACTGTAGTGTGAGGAATTCAAAGTAGTACATGGGAAGGCCTATGTGAAAAAGAACTAAGGTCTCTGCCCACTCACCTGGCTGATCTTCCAGCCAAAAGGCAGCACCAGCTTGGTAGCCATGCAAGTCAACCTTCTTGAATAGTCCATGTAGCTGACACTGTGTGGAGCAGAGAAGAACATGTCTGTGAAGATCCCAAGGCCTGCACAATGATATTCATGAGCAAAATAAGAGATTGCTGCTGTGTCTAGCATGGGTGAGGCCTTGGAGTGGATCCCCAGATCCACCCACATGCACACATGCACTCAAGGACAAAATAACTGTTGTTCTAATTCAATAAGTTTTGGGTGATTTGTACAGAGCAATAGAGAACCAATCTGATGTTTTTATTCATGTATCAATATAAGGAGATCAGAGAACCTTCCAAAGATGTGGTGTTCAAAAGAATTCTTGGGATGGGATGAGGCTTGGAGAGAAAGAGTACATGATTGACTATTGAAGTCCTTCCTTGGGCATAGTACTAAGTGGTGGTACCAGTGCTATTTGCCAAATGTTTTAGAATTCAGCATTTTCACCTTATAACCAGCTAAAACAGAATATAGACAGTTTATGATCTACTCCAGATCACCAAGATATTTGGTAACAGAACCAAAGTTCTACATCAGGTCTTCTAACATGTGGCTTACTATTCCTTCAACTTTGCTGTGTCTCTTTCCAACAACAGATTCCAGGGATCCAAAGTACAGAACATAGAGCAACAAATATATGCCTGGCTTCTCCTCATGCTTGTGACAGATTATTGCACTCTCCCAAGGTCACTGGGATGCATGTGAGAGATAGATTCTAAATTTCCATGTCCGAGAACCTGAGTAGAAAGATGAAAGTGCTTATAACTGATTGCATCGGGAATGTCAGAAGAATACAGCGAAGGCAGGCTCAAAATATAAGCTGTAAAAAGATTTGCTACAGAAATGCAATGTGTATGAGCAAGAGAAAGGCTTCCAACATGACTGACTACTCAATATCAAGGATGTCTCTCTGAAATGACACATAAACCTACTTGGGACAGAATCTACCAAGGAAGTGCTTCTACTTCCTCGGGAAACTGCAGATCCTGTTAGACGATTTCTACCTAATGTTTTAAGCTTATTTTGTGGTAGTTGAAAGAAAACCTGTTACTCTAGTTATCATGTTGCATGTACATAATTTGGTCTTAGTAGGGAACACAATAAAATTGTATTCAGGGCAGTACTGAAAAATTGTTCCCACACTGCTGGTCTTATTCTTTGCAGAGCACTTAGCATTGTCTGAAAGCAAGGCAGGATCAGAAAAAAGCAAAAAAGACCATTTCTAAGATATGATTTAAAAGCAGAGGTTTTAAATCATATGGTGCTGTGGATTACAAGGTAGATCATTGAGAACAGGACTCAGATTCATCCCAACAGGACCAAGAGCAGAGCTTCTCTGACCTTGATCAGAGAGGAGCCAAACTCCCTACATTAATATTACTAAGCCCTTAGAAAAACAACAATTACTTTCCTCCTACCACAATTCTGCAGAAATGGGGGTGAGGTTAGGTATGAAGGTTATTTGAGTAAAACAAGTGGCCAAGCATCTTCATTCATTTATTTGTTCCTGGAGTACCTAGTAAATGCAAGTTATTCTGTTAAACACTATGGGGAGGGGGAATACAAGGATGAAAAAGACAGGGATTTTTGTCTTCAAAGGTTCTCATCATCATTTGTTAACAGAGTAAGATTTGAGAACCTGGCCTAGTGAGTCAGAAGTCTAAATATCTACTAGTAGCACCTAAACAAAACATCACTGAGCTTAATCTTTAGAAGTGGGATACCTCTCTTCAATTGTCTACACAATCAGCAGAGTCAAAAATGTTAATAGCCTCTCTCTCTCTCTGGATTTCATTATCATTGAGAAAGTTATGAATTGCAGAATCACTTAGATACATTATTGTGCTCTTAGGAAATTGTTCCTGGTAATGAACAAAGCTCCATTTTCAGATTTGCAGTATGGGCTTGGCTTTAACAAGTAAGTGTTTTTTTTCAGAAAAATATGCAACAGATATGGTAAAACAGAAATATAATATTCTTAGAAATGGATTAGTTTTGATACTAATTAAAGTTTCCTTTTTGGTACTTGCACTTTATTCTTTTGCTAATATCTCTATGCACATTAAATTTTCAAAAAGGTTGAAGTTTTCATTTATTCACAAATCTTCAAAGACCAGTAAAATTCTTGTGACATCTTTTCAGGTTTTATGTTCTGTGTGATTTGTATTCCCCCTAATCTTTTATGGAATAGAATTTTTCAATGCTTCTCACTGTGTTTTCCTAACTATTTGTTTTTCAACACATAATCCTAAAGTCAGCACTTCTCAAACTTCTACAATATCTGGTAAGTGCCAGTGCACAGGAACACAGGAAAAAAACACAAGAAAGAAAATGGGCTTTGGAGTTGGTCATGTGCTGTGTAAGATCACTGCCACTTCCTGTATGACTCCAGGTAAAATACTTCATCTTATGTGAGCCTTAATTTGCTTATCTGTGAAACGAAGATAAAATGCAAATAGGTCATGAGGATTAGATACAAGTTAAGAAAGCAGAGAACCTTATAATTATAAGCACTCAGTAACAACTTCTCTTTGCTTCCTCTAAAAACAATGATAAAGCTAAGGACTTAGTCGTCAAAATACATAAACGAGTGAAAGGCGCAGACTATTCAGGTCCCAACCAATTTTGACGATATTCTGATATTGTAGACGATTTGACATTTCTCCTTTTCCTTCTTAATGGAAAACAGTATCCAACAGTAAGAAAAACAAAACGGGGGCGGGCTCTATAATTTCATCATCCTAGTACCACGACTGTTTCTGCCGTGATCTCAATTTTATACAAAATGGCCATTTTCCATCTGGGCATGGAGTTACACGCCTGTAATTCCAGCACTAGGGAGGCAGAGGCAGTAGGCTCTCAAGTTGGAGGCCAGCCTGAGCTACATAATGAGACCCCGTCTTGGGGGGAGAAAAAAAAAAAGTCGTTTTCTCCACAGTTGCTATCAGCTTGTGCTTCTCTTGGCATCATCTCTTCAGGTGCGAATAGATTTATTCCAGGTGATAGTGGGAAGCAGCTAAAGCAGAGGGAATGGAAGGCTGCGGGGGTGTTAAAATTCTCTTCTGATATTGTTCAAACCTTTCTCCAGCACAGGAACTCCACAAAGAACTCCTCTGCAGTTTTTGTTAGCCGTGGCTGTTTCTTTAAATTGTTTGACGTCAGAGAAGGAATGCTATAGCAACAGTCTGTCAAACTGGAATTAACTCAAAAGAAAGATGGGGGTGGGGAGAGGAAAAATGTTCCCAGGCGGTACTGACTTCAGAGGAAGCAAATTGGAGGGAGGCATTTATTTTATGACATTTTGAACATAAAACAGCCAGAGAAATGTGGGGGGGAAAAGTCAATTTAGATGCATGTGGTGTTTAAGTCACGCAGAAAAGAGCGCCTTGGCAAGGCTATCAGCAAGGCCTTCCAGATTCATCAGTGACAACAGTAACAGCAACTTCCAAGAACTGATCATTTAGGTGCAGGCTTTGTGCAAACAGTACTTCATTTGGTATTTCCAGCACTTTCATGAGACAGGTATTATTACTATCCTTATTTTGCCGAGGATGAAACTTAGGTTTGGAGAGGGCAGGTGGCCGCACAGCCACTGATCGAAGGCCTGGGATTGTAAAGCGATTTTGTATGACTCTGGGCTTCACTTTTTGGAGCTCCAGAATGTGAAACCCACACAAGGCTCTTGGGATTTTCTCGCTCAACCCCTCTCCTGTCCTTCCGCAGCAAACGGACGCCTGGGCAGTGTCAGGAAGGAAACTGACCACACCACTTAGACGGGCGCTGCTCTTCTGAGTGCTCCGGCGTCCAGGCGCCACATCAAGAAACCGAAACTGCCCTGGAATTAATGTTTTTCTTCTCCGTCTAGCAGGGAACGAGAGAGAAAATAGGAAGCAGAAGCTGCGCGCGGCGCCCGCTTCCCTAGACCCCGGCCCGCGCCCGGGCCACGCGCGCTCCAGGACCTGCGCGCGCCCGCCGCGCGCCCCCACCGCCCTCCGCGCGCCTCGCGCCACGTCCCCGCCCCGGCCCCGCGCGCAGCAGAGTTGGCTGCTGGGCGGGCTGGGTGTGGCTGGCGGCTCGGGTCTCGGCGGTGCGTTGTGTGTGCCCCGCACGCCGGCTTCGCGCTCCAGGGGCAATTGACCGCCCTGAGGACCCAGGCGGCGCCTGGCTGGCCGGTCGAAGCGGGCCAAGCGCCCTCCAGGTGGGTGGCGAGCGCGCGAGCTGCGGCTCGTCGGTGCGCCCCGCCTGGCGGGGGCGGGGGAGCAGTCCCCGGCTTCCCGCTGGGGCCGTGAGGCTCCACGGGCCGCCCTTGCGGGACCCGGCCTGGGGGATGGCGCGTGGCGGCCGGGTCCCTCCTGACCCTGGGACTGGGGACGACAGACACGGCGGAGACCGCGCGGCGCGCCCTGGCTGCGCTGGCCGCCGTCGCGGGCGCGTCCTGGGCGCCTCGGACCACCGCTGGTCTGCGAAAGCAGAGAGGGCGGGCGGACCCGGGTTCAGTCCCGAGGCCTCCGCCGTGTTCCAGACCGCCGCTCTCGCTGCAAGTCCGCTGCTGCTCGGGGCTGCCCCGGACGGCTGCGGTGGAGATGGAGAGCGCGGGGAGCGCTGCTAACTTCTCCGCCGGTGCTGAAGCGAGCCCGGTACTCCCGTGCCCAGTCCGTCTTTGAAATGATTCGGTGCCCAGTGCCTTCGGGGTGGGGAGGAGGTGGATTGTTGATAATGGATTTTGAATACTTGTAAGTTCGGTTTTTAAGAGAGTGTTTTCCTTCTCTCTTCACATCCGTTCCTGCTTCAGAACACAAATGATTGCCTTTTACTTTGACATTTATTGTTATTCAGTAAGGAAAGAAGGGAAGATTGGATTTCCAAAAGTTTAAAGCAGGCTTAGTTTGTTTATAGCAGCGCTTTGTTATTCATTCTCTCTCCCCTTCTTTCCCTCTCTCTCCCCCCCCTCCTCTCGCTCTCTCCCCCTCCCTCCTCTCCCTCTCTCTCCCCCTTTCCTTCTCTCCTTCTCTTCCTTTCCCAAGCTTTCTACTTCTCTCTTAGTAAGGGATGAGGATGCATCTTTGTTATTTTGCCTGACTCTCCCCACACTCCACTTCTCTCTCAGTAAAGGATAAAGATGTATCTTTGTTATTTTTCCTGTCCCCCTCTCCCCCTTCTCTCTCTCCCCTCCCCCATTTCTCTCTCATTTCTTTCTCAGTAAAGGATGAAGATGTATCTTTCTGCTCAGTCACTGACAAAATAGTCCTTATGTGTATTAGCGCCCCATCAAGAAGTTTTCTTAAGATGCTGGGAATTTGATTGCTGGTCCATCTCCATGCTGCAAACTGAGACTGCGATCTTTAAGTGCATCTTCTAGAAGACACAGAGTGCACTCTACTTATGTAAGAGGAGAGGAAAGTCATTTCTAGTGGACAGATTTGGTACATTTCAAATGGTGTACTTTGAGACTATTGTAAATTTAATAGTATTCTATGTGGACCTTTTGGTTTGTCACATATCCTGGACTCTGAAAGTTTCTTGCATATTTCAGTATTTGGTTAAATATTTAAAATTTTTTTCATGTCTCATTTGAGTTTATGTATTAATTTGAAACTGAAAATTATGCCTTGTGATACATTAAGGTACATCTCTGTGAGCCCGTAGACATAATCGAGGAAATTATTTTGAGTTGTTGATCTTTGTTAACCTGTAGAATTGTTTCTTTTAAATCATCAGTGCTTAAGTATGGTCAGCACATATTTTTATACCTTAAAAATAGATGCTGGGTACTTTCAGAATTAAGAAATGGAACTAAGCATTGGACGTTTTTCTGCCCTTTCCAAACACTTCCTGAAATGGTGTGATTTCTCTGATTTCTTTCAGGTTTGTTATTGAAGTCGAGTGGTTGTGTTACCAGGTTCTTTACCTTGCTGACTAGTTTAATCTGCATTTATTGTACAGATTATTTGCCAAGCAACTTGTCTTGGACAAAAGGCAGTCCTACGTATTACTCTATTTACCTTTCAGTAACCTGGCAAAGGGAACATTATCCACTTGTACAGTAAGGAAGCTGTGCCCGTGAGATGTTAGGTCACTCGCTAGCGACCACGTAGCTGATAAATAACTAGGGTCCAGGGCAAGATTCCTGTCCCTGACAGTTCAGGGCATTAGGATTAATCCTTAATTACTCATTAGCATATTTGTAAAATTTCCAGCACGTACCAGAGATGTTGTCCTTGTTTTCCCAGCATGATTGGTACTACCCATCCATGGTAATACACAGATCCTCACATCAGCCATTCTCCTCTCACCTCAATTCTAATTGCCTTGATCAAATGTTGATAACCTCCATTTTGCTAGCACAGAATTATCCTATTGACATTATTAGGTAGTGATTAATCATTCTTCCAAAATAAAAACCACACAGTAATGGGGGTTCTCTACAGACATAAATATGACTCATTTGGAAGGTGACAAACAAGATGGTGACCCCAGGTGTGGTAATCCACACCTGTAATCCCACTACTCCAGAGGCTTAGGGAGGAGGATTGTGAGTTTGGGGCCAGCCTGGGCTACATAGCAAGATCCCATCTCAAAACAAATTAACAAACAAAAACCAGGCTCACAATCTATTGTGGGTATATATGTCCTGTTGGAGTAATCCCATGTCCCCTACGTACTCAATTTGTCCGTTTCTATGGAATCACTTACATTATTATATAAACATTGCTATGCCTCCCACCTTAAAATAAATCATTTCTTGAGCCAATGATCTACTTCAGTGACTGCCCCGTTTCTCAGTTTCACCTCAAGAAATCCTAATTTTTTGACAGAACAAAAATAAATGCAGGGGAGATAACCATAAACCACTTACTTCCAGGAAGCGGGTGGGAACTGAGTGAAGTGGGAGAGGACGAGGGAATGGTTCTACTTTGACGAACACACCTTTTTGTGCAGTTTTGAGTTTTAGAAACTTGTTAATCTTGTACATGTCCAAACACTAAAATTAGCAAGATGGATGGGGACTCCAAAATTTACTGTTTTTTAAAAATCTTCTTAAAACGCCAATTAAATTCAAACAGCAACAAATGAATTAACTGTATTTCAGTAAATAAATGATCAGAAGAAAAACATGAATTCAAGTAAGTTTTGAACACAGGACTTTTACTATATGCCCTTAATCTAAATATAAAAAGAACTGGGGAGGAAAGAGCTTGAACTCTGTGTAGCAGGCTATTACTTGTATGGTAAAGGTATAGTGATACCTTTGGAAGATTGGCCAAATGAATAAGGCCATTGATATTTGGGGAGCTAGAGTTTTAAATATGGAATGGAAGAAGGCATTGAAGTCTCTGGCGTCAGATTGGGATTAGTGGCACGAATATGAGCTCATGATAAGAATATATACATATACAGATGTACGTACATGTCTGGTGGAAGGGCCTGGGAGCAGTAACATACAGGTAACAGTGAACACAACTAATGCCCTGTCAAAATGGCTAATTGTAGAACTGGGATATTCAGGTGAGCCTTGAGTATTTTGTATCACAAAGTAAGTGGCATGTCAAAAGGACATAGGACTAACTTGAAGGAACACTCAATGGCCAAATCTGGAAGAATTTGATCATGAAAATGAATGATGATAGAAACATAACTCATTGAATAAAAGAAAAATCCCTACATCTATGAGAGGTCTAAATGAGCATGGATTGTACCCTACCCATGTCCCTAATCTCATTTTCCGCCCCTCTCCACCTTGTTCATTGTCCTTCAGCATCACCATCTTCCTGTTGTTGATCTGACTTGCCAGGTTACTTTCTGCCTCCAGAGTCTTTGCATTTACTGTTTTTCTGCCTAGAATTCTTTTTCCCTTTTAAGGTATGGCTCATTTCCTTATTTCATTCAACTTTACTTAGATTACTTTATTTAAAAATAGTCTCCCTAGTCACCTGTGATCTAACCTCTTTACAACTTTTTTTCTTTCAGCGTACTTATCTGTACTTAAATCATGTGATTTGTTTACGTGCTTTGCTATCTCCGAATCAGATACAGGATAATGTATCTGCCACAATGATGGAAACCTGTGTGGTTTTTTTTGCTACTGAATCTTCAGAGCCTGGAATATGCCCAGCATGTGGTTGGAACTCAGATACTTGTTGAATGAATGAATGCAAAAATTAGTACATTCCAGCTCTTTTTCTGGATTTTTGCTGCAGCTATTTCAAGTGGGCAAAGCAGTTTCCAGAGAATCCTATAGCATTAGTGTTATTTAAGGCATTTTGGTGGAGGAGCTAAAGCTCCTCTGGAGCCAGTGACCAACTTGCAGTTTCCCATCTCACCTTTCTTTTGTGTGCCCTCTGGTGGACGAATGCTAATAAGCAGCAACTGAGTAGACTGGGTCAATAGGAAGGAATGGGAAAACCTGGATAGCAAATTGTGTAATTAACTTAAAAAAAAAAACCAATATGAAAATTTTAATTTTAGGTGAGCCTCCACATTAATCACAATATGGACAGAAAGGACAAAAAAGAAAATGGGTAATAATTGGATTTGAAGAGCCATATGGCTTAGGATGAAAAAAATAAAATGAATGCATTCAAGTATTTTGACTATTTAAAAGTAATACCTGTTTATGTATACTTAATTTTCCACGTTTAATTCAAGGGCCTCTTTTCCTCAGTGTTGTGTTAATTTCAGTTAACCTTTATTGACCATACCACCTATGGGACAACACTGTAATTTGAGAAGCAGACGTTAAACCCCAACTGTTGAGTGCTAGAGACAGAGCTCTTAGTCATTGTGCTTCACAGCCACCTCCCTGCTAATGTCCTGCGGGGTGAACAGGTACCAAAGAAATAACTGTGGTGCAATAGCTGTGAACAAAAAGTGCTTGGTAAGTTCACAGCATGTGACTGTGTTTCCAATATGCATTATTGAGAGTCTTTCTTCCAGATTTGTCTAGCATATATGTTGTTTGATCTGTTTTGAAGTGGAAATCACACCAAGTGATTTTCTTTTTATTTATTTATTTGTTTATTTTGCTATGCACGGCCTGGAACATGGTAGGGAAGTGCTTTTGGTAACAATTCTACTAATTTCTCTATTGCTGAAATAAGTGAGAATACTGCTTTGGGAGGGACACTGCTGAGCAGAATGGTCCCTAAGGCTCAAAGAGCAAATAATCTCTGGGTCTCACAGACCCAGCTAGTCTTGTTT